AGCTCCTGCAGCACGTGCCTGTGTGTGTACGTGTGCGCACACACACACACGTGAGGGTGGGCGTGAGGCTGTGCGTGAGGCTGTGCGTGAGGCTGTGTGCCCACAGCGTGTGAGCGTGTGTGAGAGAGCGGGCATGTGCCCGCGGGATCACGCGTGTGCACCTGAGTGTGTGAGGGGGTGTGTACACGGGTGTGTGTGCGAGAGATTGTGTGCACGCAAGCGTGGGAGAGCGTGTGTGTCCTCGTGGCTGCAAGTGTAAAGGTGTGGACATGTGCGCGTATGTGAGGATAGTGTGGTCGGCCCAGCATCAAGGATCCGCCCGGCTCCAAAGCGGCCTGGGCGGCCACGCCGCGGCCAGGGGAAGGAGGTAGATAAAGCTCAGGGCGGGGAGGTGACGGCCGGTGCTCCCCGGTGTGGGGGCCACGGGCAGGCCCAGGCTCTGCGCTGCTCCCCCGTGAGCTGCCTCCCCGGGAAACCAGGAGCCCGGTGCAAAGCCAGCCCCAGGAGGAAAGAAACACCGGGACACCTGCCGTGGAGGACGCATGGCGCGTGGACACCGGAGTTCACAGTGGCCTGGTCACACGTTAGCTGTGTGGCCTCCGGCAAGCCACTTAACCTCTCTGTGTCTCAGCTTCTCCATCTGTAAAATGGCACTGGTAACCGTCCCTCGCAGGGTGGTTCTGAGGACATGAGGAGTTCAGAAAGAAGCAGAACCCTTAGACTAAGCGCCTGGTGCCCTGCCAGGGCCACACACATCTGCCTGGTTATTATCGGGACCAGTGATACCTGCTCTGGGGGCAAATGAACCCCTAGCACTGTCCAAGCCCAAAATGCATCAGATGCTGGGCTGACCAGACACCAAGAGTCCCAGTTTGGTGTCTGAGTGGGGGGCAGCAGCTGAGTCCCAGTCTGGTGGAGGGTGGGGGGCAGAGAAAGGTGTGGGTGGTAGCCCTGCCCCCAGGCCTGCCTGCTGCCCGCCCCACCCGTCTGCCCCAGAGCTCCTCTCCTCCACGTGTCCTCCACGCATCCCTCACGTGTCCTCCACATGCCCTCCAGGTGAGGCTGGTGCGGACGGGAAGGCGACCCACATTTACAGTAAGGAAAAAACAAGGCCCAGGCCAGGACAGTTTTGGGGTTCTGATGGAGAGGCAGAGGGACTGGCTGTACAGGTTCCCTTCCCCCAGCTTCCCTCCACCTCCTCAAGCCACCCACGGAATTTTCTGGCCCGAAGGGTGTATCGGTCTGCTCCGGCCGCCGCCGCAGAGGCAGGACCACACACTGAGCAGCTGAAGCAGAAAGTTACCTTCTAACAGGCCCGGAGGCCGGAAGTCCGAGAGCACGGTGCCCGCAGGTGGGTGGCTCCCGAGGCCTCTCTCCTGGGCTGGCAGGTGGCCACGGTCTGGCTTGCCGTGTCCTCACATGTCCCTCCACTCTGTATGTGCGCGTCTGAGTCCAAATGTCCCCTTTCTATACAGACGCCAGCCACACTGGATTACAGACACCTCGTTTTAAACTAGTCACTGTTTTAAACCCCTTCTCTCAATACCATTACATTCTGGGGTTACTCGGGCTACGACTTTAACAGGAATTTTGCAATGCTTCAACAAAATTTTGCAAGTTGGCACTATCTCACAGCTCCAGAGCTCGAAGTCCGGAGTCAGGGTGTCGGCAGGGTTGGGTCCCTCCGAGGCTCGGAGGGAGAAGCGGTCCCATGCCTCTGTCTGCAAAGACCCTTATTCCCAACAAGGTCACATTCCGAGGTTCTGAGGGGACATGTGTTTCAGGGCGACCCCATCCTGGCGTCCTGGCCACAGGGCCACAGGAATGCCGCTGGCCCGTCCCAGGGCTGGAGGCCACCAAGCCCTCTGAGCACCCCGAGGAGCCGGCGCCTGTCCCTGAGCTCAGAGAGTCCCTGCCCTGCCCACCCTCCTGGCCCTGGACGAGGGACAGGGGAGGATGAAGGCTGGCACGGTGGCCTGGGGGGCAGAGGGGGCCAGGGGACAGGGGGTGCATGTGGCCCAGCAAGGGGCCCAGGGAAAGGTTGGAGCGACCACGAGAGAGGCTTCCCTGTGAAGGAGGGGGACAGAGGGAGGCCTGCGTGAGCCCCACGCTGTCTCCCCAGGCCGTGGCCCACGATGTCACCCCCCTCCCCACACACACACACAGAGTTGGAACCCGAGGATTCCCGGCGGGCCCCGGTGGTTTCCAGCCCCTGACCCCCCCAGCCCAGCAGGGCTCCTCTCCAGCAGGGACACTGGGGCAGAGGCTGCAATCAGTCACTCACTGGAGAGACGGCCTAGAACGCCACCCCCCTCATTCCTCACTGCTCCAGACCAGGTGGGGGGCGCTCCCCAAACACAGCGCAGTACCCACAGGACCCACGTGGGCCCTTGTTCCCAAACAGTAAACATCTCACACTTGCTAAGCACTAAGCGCCAGCTACTGCCTTAAGCATTCCATTACCTGATCAGTTCATTTAACTCTCAAAACACCCCTATAAATAAGTAACATTATGTCTCCATTTTACAGATGAGGAAACCGAGGTTCAGAGAGGCCCACTGACTCGCCCTGAACCCTGGACCCGCGGCTCCAGGTCCAGTGCTCTGGCCACACAGCTGGCACCAGCCCCACAGCGGGGACCTCAGGGAGGTTTCCTTCATGCTGCTTCTCCCTTTCCCACCAGACCCTGCCAAGAAAAGCCAGGGGAAGTTTATCAGAATGTGTTGGGAGTGGGAAGGAGGGGCAGCTGGGTCTCCCTCTGGGCTGGGGTTTTCTGACCACGGCCCCCATCCCTGGCCCTGCCGCCGGCCCTGGAAGCAGGAAGTATCTCCCCCACCTGATCTGAGATCTGGAAAGTTCTCAAAGCGCCCCCCCTTCTCCTTCTCTTCTGGCAGAGACCCGATCATGCCCCAGCCCCAGCTGGCCTGGAGAGTCTCGCTGCCGCAGGAGCTGAGCCCCAGAGCGCTCCAGCCCCTGCGGTCCTGTGGGGCGGGAGCGGGGCCGAGGGGTCTCTGTTGCGTTTCCGAGGCTGTGCTGGGGGCTCCTGGGGGCGGAGAGAAAAGTCCAGCCACCGCAGCCGCAGACAAAGCGGACCTGAGATTACCGTGGTCAGGGCTGAGCCTGGTGCCACGGCAAGGGGATGTCCCCACAGGCCACCTAAGCCACCCTCCGGCGCCCAGTCACTGAAACCCAACCTCATGCCACTCCCACCAGCCACCCATGGTACAGTGAGGCTGGGGTTTCTGCCGCGACTTCCTGCACAGCCTCAGCTGCTCTCCCTCACGCCCCCAAGGACCTGGACGGGCACTGCGGCCCTGAGGAGGCCACACTGTTCCTGGCCGTGGCTCCTGGCAACCGCCCCCACCCCAGCCAGGGAGCTGGGAGAGAGCAGCGAGCCTTTATACCCATTTGCCTGATACCGATGCTCCGTTTCCTGTGCCCCCTTGTCTCCCCAGGAAAGGTGTCAGCAGGAAACAGTGAATTCAGAGAGGGCAGGTATGATGGGGTGGGGTGAGGACAGGAATTGTTGATGACAACCGTGATGCCTTATCACTTATCACCCTCTTCCTGGGGCCGGCCCATGGGGGGCCCTGCCGCGGCTCCTGCTCTCCTCTCCCGGGAGCCCTCACCCACCCTTCACGGATGACAAGCCCAGCGACAGAGGGTTGGGCAACAGGCCCGAGACTGCAGTTGGGAAGCAGCCAGACCATGTGGGGGGTTTGCACTGAACCCTGATCTTTTGAAGCCATGCTCCATAGCCCCCTACCGAATCAGACTTCTGATGCGACTCCCCACTTGGGCCAGGGAGCTCGGGGCAAGCCCAGCACTGAGGCAGGCGCCGAATAGGACTCTCATTGCACCAGAGCGCTGTCAGTGCTCAGCAGAACACTACATGCAAACGGCACCTGGGGAAACAGCGCACCTGGAAAGCGCCTTGTTGTGTTTTTTTCCCCTGGGCCGTGCAGGGCCCACCTCCGTGAGGATGGAGAAATCAGGGCCGTGGCCACTCACCCCTCCAGGGAGTGTCGCCCCCCCCGGGTGACCATCAGGAGCTGCTCCTAGGGAAGCTGGAAGGGTCTCTGGGAGGCCAGCTAGTGTCCGTCGCTCCCCACACAGCACCGGTCTGCACGCAGGGGCCTGGGGCTCACAGCTGATGACAGGTGTAGGAGTTCCCAGGATGGAAGTGCCACAGCTGTCCCCTGTCACTCCCGACCTCTCCTCCCAGGAAGCCAACTCCCCATGGTGTCCTGAACACCAGTGACAGCCAGAGCAGCCGTGGCCTACTGGTGCCGAGTTCCTGGGAGACACTCACGTCAGGCCCCGGGGCCGTGTGGCCTCTCACTTTCCAAGAGCCGGGGGCCCGGCCCCTGAATCATTTATCCAGTGTCTCTTCGTTGGACACCTCCCGCCTGCCACGTGCTACACTAGGATGGAGCTGAGGACGAGGGAGGCTCGGTTCCTGCCCCGGGACCTCACCGTTGAGTGGGACAGAGGGTACGATGGGTGAGCAGAGGCAGGGCCTCAGACTCAGGGTGCCGCAGCTCCCCTGTCAGACCCTCAGGTCTGTGAGGTCAGGGAAGGCCTGTGAGGAGTGGGCACGGATGCTGAGGCCTGGGGGGGAGTTTGGTGGGAGGGAGAGGGAGCCGTGTGGGTGGGTCTGGGGGCTGCGGGAGCCAGCAGGCTGAATAAGAACCAGAGAAAGGAGGTTTTCTCTTCCCCACGGTGAGGCACGTGGGGGCGAGGAGTGGGAGAGGGGAGCGGTGGCCAGGCCCCTCCCCAACACTGAGCACCCCCTCACGTGTTTACTTGTTCCAGTCTGTGTCCCAGCACTAGCATGGGGCTCCGTGGGGACAGGCCCCTGTTGTCACTGTTGTCACCTAGGACAGCACCTGGCACGCTGCAGGAGCTGGCTATATACGCGTGAGTGAATGAACGAACGGGCGACCTGTGCAGGCCCTGTTTCTGGGCTGTGATACAGGCAGCAGAGAAGCAGATCCCCTGCTCTTGTTTCTACGTGCCAAACACGAGACATCCGCCCGTTCCGGAAGGGGGGGGGGGGCGATCTTGCCTTTGGCCCTGGGGATTTATGCTACATAGCAGGACGGGACAAAAGGGGAAGAGCACTGTCCATCCGAAGGAGGGGAACATGTACGGTGTCCTGGGCTGTGCGCCAGGCCACGAGGCTGCTCCAGTTCAGAGAAATTAGAGCCTCCCGCGCATGCACCAGCTTCCCGGCGCGGGCGGGAAATCAGGCTCGGGGAGAAGGCCAGATCCTGAGGCAGCTCGGCCACTGCGTTCGAGGAAGCGAGGAAAAACCTCCAGGAACACACTGCACCATCTCCGCTGTCACGGAGCTGAGGTTCTGGCAGGGGAGGCGCTAAGCGGTGGGCCTCACAATTGGTAACGTAGTAACATGGAAGGGCGGAGAGGGAGAAGAGCAGGGAGGTGCGGGGTGCGACGGGGTGGGGGGGCATCAGGGCTCGGGGGTTCAGGGGGGCCTCTGGAAAGGAGAGACATTGGCTGAGATGAGGAAGGTGAGTCGGAGCTGCAGGGGGTGAAGGCGGGACACAGGAAGAGATTCCCACAATCCCAAGCGAGAGGGAGGGAAGGGCCCAGAAGAACCGGGAGCGGCTTGCGGGCACCTGGAAAAGCAGTGGGGACAGTTCAGGGACAGCTGGGACAGGCAGGTGCAGGCAGAGTGAAGTTCTGCTGGACGCATGAGGCTGTCTGGGGGCCTCTCTGCCTGTGACCTTCACTCTCGGGGCCTCGGGCCTTGCCCCCAGGCTGAAGCAGTCCAACGAGGTGGCTCTGGAGAGGCGGGTGGGCAGGACAGAGCCAGGGGCCCAGTTCTCTGGCACCTCCCTGCAGCGCTTGCGCGCAGAGCAGCCGCCAAGGCCCTGGGGCAGTGGCTGTGTCCCCACTCCAGCCGGCTGTCCCGGGCGGCCCCAAGGAGGGGCGAGCAGGGGTGTGCGGGGCCCAGAATCAGTCACACCAAGACCAGAGGTCTTAGGCTTAAGACCTTTTACGTCTCATTAATTCTGAGATGTGAATCCTTCCACATTTTAATCCTCGCCTTAGGACATATCCACTGGTTTGACAGAGGAAGGAAGAGAGAAATATCGATGTGAGTAACATTGACTGGTTGCGTTCCTGTATGCGCCCTGGGTGGGTATCGAACTCACGACCTAGGTATGTGCCCAGATAGGGAATGGAACCCACAGACTTCTGGTGCAAGGGACGGTGCTCCAACCAACTGAGGCCCCGGCCGGGGCACCTTCCCCACTTGAACATCTCTGAGGTCAGCACCCGCACTCGGCCCGCCGGTGCGTCGGGGCTGCGGCACCTTCCTGGTGGCACACGCGAGTCTCGGTCACTGGCATCACGGGTCTGGTGAGGCCTGGAGACCTCGGGCTGTGGCTTCCTGCACACAGAACTGAGTAACAGCAGACAGGCCAGAAACTTGCTAACTTCTCAGAACCGTCCTTCCAGAGAAAGCCACCGCGCCTGGAGGTCTAATGGAGTCTGGACTTTCATGGGAAAGAAACTTTGATCTTGTTCCGTGTCAGCTGAGCTTAAAAGCTAACCTCAGCTGTAAGTTCTGTTGTTTTTGTCCGACAAGCTTCCAGATTCTCTTCATCCTCTGGCCAAAGAATGACTAACAAATTTTTTTTTACCAGGAATTCTAATTTTGTTAGAATTTCTAACATAACCACTGACTCACACAGGCTGACTTAAAATGACATGTGGGATGAGGCCCTATTCAAACGGGGGCTTCAGTAGACACCTCTCTCCAAAGACGACATGTGAATAGCCCAGAAGCTCACGGAGAGATTCTCAGCATCACTAACCGCCGGGGAAATGCAAACCTGAACAGCAATGAGACCCCCCGCACCAACACGGCTGTTACGGAGCCAGCGGCAGGTAAGTGTTGGTGAGGGTGTTGGTGACACTGGGACCCCCCCTCCCCCCGTCGGAACATCAAGTGCGGCCGCTGCCATGCCGTTCAGCAGGTCCTCAAATGAGGTTGTTTCATTCATAACGTCGATGAGATGCCACGGGAACTTATCTCTCGTCTGCATCGATTAGCCTGTGGTAAAACTGGTTTCCTTCTACTTCTCTTAAAGTTGCAGAACCTAGCTCAGACATTAAGTGAGGACTTACTGTGGTTCCTCCAAAGACTGAAAACAGAATTACCACACGATCCAGCAACTCCGCTTCTGGTTGTCTAACCCAAAGAACCGAGGGCAGGGGCTCCGACGGACACGTGTCCACCCCCGTTCACGCAGCATCGCCCCTGTGACCAGAAGGTGGAAGCCACCCCAGCGTCCGTCATGGATGAACAAGATGTGGTGGATCCGTGCGACGAAATACTATTCAGCCTTAAAAAAGAAATTCTGACACTTTACAACATAAATAAACCTTGAGGACATTCTGCTAAACGACGTAAGCCAGTCACAAGAAAAATACCCTCGGTAGGACACACCTCACGTGAGGTCCTTGGAGCAGTCAAGTTCACAGACACAGAGGTTATGGCTGACAGGGGCTGGGGGCAGAGGGGGCAGTTGTCATTTGATGGCTACGAAGTTCCGGGGCTTTTCTTTTCAAAAGATTTTATTTATTTTTAGAAAGAGAAGGGAGAGACGGAAACACAGATCAGTTGCCTCTCACACGCCCCCAGCGGGGGACCTGGCCTGCAACCCAGACGTGTGCCCTGACTGGGAATTGAACCGGCAACCCTTTGGTTCACAGGCCAGCACTCAATCCACCGAGCCACACCAGCCAGGACTGAAGTTCCAGTTTTGCAAGATGAAAATAATTCTGGAGATGGTTGGTGGTGATGACCCTACAACCAGGTGGATACACTTAATGCCCTTCAATTGCACATACAAAAATGCTCAATTTCACACAATTAAAAATAAATTTTTAAAAATTCCATGTGGAAAAGACTTCGTTTCTTCGGGTGCTGGAAGCAAGCAGCGAACCATGGCCTGCGGGTGCCTCTGCCCACAGACACACAGTGGGGAGCGCACAGGCACTCGAATTGGAGAGCCCGTGGAGGGGCCCTGAGCCCCACCATCCGTCCCCTTCCCCGCCCGGCTACTGAGGAAGCTGAGGCTGAGGCCCCAGAGAGTGAGGAGACTTCAGGCAACAATCTGGGTGCTTCTCCCTTGGCCGGGGGCCTCTGCCGCCCTGGGCTTGGGCCCCACGTGGACAGGGCTGGTGGGAGTCAGGTCACAGGGCAGGGAGCACAGTAATGCTCACCAAGAATCCCAGAAACCCCTTCCACGTCCCAAACCCACACTGTCGGGGGGGCCCAAGTGACCAGCTCTGGCCGATGAACCATAAGCAGGAGTGACCTGTTTGTCCTAAGAAGCAACAGGCAACATCCCTCAGGGGGGAGCCTCCACTGGCCTCGATCCCCAAGAGACAACGCCAAAAGCAGGGGCCCCGTGGGACCCGTGACGGAAAGGCAGTGTGCGCACGTGAGCAAGGGACAAGGCTTGACGTCAAACCGCTGGGGTCTGGGGGCTCGGCAGCTGCTGCAGCGTGACCTCGCTTATCCTGACGAACACACGTGCCGTGCACAACGGGAAGAGAAAGGGTTTCACAAGCTCTGGGTGGGAACCACAGAGACCACAGCCCCAGACCCACCCCTCTAGACTGAGAAACCTCAGGAAACACCAACGAGCTTTCTCTGGGCTCCAGTTCCCCCTTTTTATCTTAGAAAAAACAGGGATTTCTTCTCTTCCAACCTGTGGAGGGAAATAATCTAGGAGGGAGATCCGGGCTCTCTGTCAACCTCCCCTCCGACTCACCTACAGCTTCCAGGGTCGGGCTCCAGGGGGAGGGGGAGCCAGACGGCCCGGGGACTTCAAGGGAGACCCTCTAGGAGTGGAGCCCAGTGTTGAGGACCAAGGGGGGCACTCGCCCGCTCCCCACTGCCACTTCAGCCTCATCTAGAGGGGACAGCCTGAGACCCCAAGCCATCTGTTGAGACGGCTTTTTAACGCTGACCTTGACCTCAGCCTAAAAACTGCCCCCGCTCAATCCCTGGGGGCCCATCCACCCACAGCTGGGAGCTGCACAGAGCCACGCTCAGGGTACCGGATCCACCCCACCCAGCACAGGCTGTCAGAGGTGTCTCTCCCCGGGGGAGGGGACACGAGGCTGAGGCCAGCGCAGCTGCTGGGCCCTGCGGGCATCAGCAGGACAGACACGGCACACGCGGGAACCTGGAGCTGCAGGTACACTGAGCTTTATTTCCGAGCGTGTCACAGAATGGCCTTACCTCCTCCCACCCAAGGACCCCTTTCTGAACCTGGGAAGGAGACCCACCTGCCCGACCTAGGAGGGTGGGGCCAGGGCCACCTCCAGGTGAGGCCGGGTGGGCTCCCAGCATGGGCGCCCGGGCAGAAGGGCGAGGCCGGACGCGACGGCAGGGCCGCTGTCTTCCTCCAAGCGGCCAGTTCTCAGGGCTGCAGCCGGGGGTGCAGGGCCGGGGCACCTAGGGCTCTGACCAGATCAGGGTGGGGGGTGGAACCCGCAGTGGCATGGCCTGGCCGGTAAAGGAGGTGGTGTCAGAGGGGGCCACACTGGGGGCAGGTCACCCCAGTCCCAGCCTCATCTCCTTCTGGGTCTCAGAGTCAGCGTCCTGCTTGGGTGGACGGGGCAGCCAGCGGAAAGTGCAGGAGCCTGCAAGGGCGCTCTGGGTGAGGGCCGGGAAAACGGAGTGGGTCTCTGTGGGGAGACACCCCAACCCCGCCCCGGGACCCTGCCGTCCCTGTCATCTGCCCCCCAGACCATACCGGGTGGTGAGGGTCCGCCGACGGCTTCTGGGGCTGGGCCTCAGAGGCAACGCAGGACCAGAGGTCCAGGCTCTTGAGGGCGGAGCTTCTCTGGGACCTCGGAGGGACAATGTCCCAGCCCCGCAGGCAGTGCTGTGGAGGGCGAGGGCTTCAGGCGCCCGGCATGGGACACAGCTCTCCCCAGTCCCGGTGTCCCCTGCAGACCAAGGCTCCCCGGGACAGGGGCCTGTGTCCACCCACTGGGACCCCTTTCCCAACCCTGCTGACCCACGCCCGGGCCTGACCAGAGACGGGCGGAGGGAAGGCCGTGGACCCTGATGGGGCGCTTCCTGGGTGTCGGCCTCTGCCCCGCGCCCAACAGGTATCGGTCCCCTGAACTGCTCCATGTCCCCACACAAACCTGAGGACGGTATCTTGTGCCCATTTTACAGCTAAGCAAACCCACTTTCCTTGGCATCCCTTCTCCTTCCCCCAGGCCCAGCTCCCCCCTCCTCGACTGGGAGTGACTGGGGCACGCAATGACCCCTGTCCTACCCAGGAGACACAAAGGACACTATGGGAAGCACTATGGAAGCATAAAGACCTGGGTTCAAATCCTAGCTCTTCCACTGAGCTGACCTTGGACAAGTCACCTCCCCTCTGCCTCAGTGTCCTCATCTGTGAAATGGGACAGCAGCAGAGCCTGCACCAGCTGCGGTGGGGTCCCCTGGAATGACCCTTCCAGGGACTGCGCATGTAGCACACAAGACCTTAATAAATGGCACCGATTTATGCCAACATGTGGGCGGTCACTTCTCCTGGACACCAGGGAGGGGGTGGGGTGCCCCCTTCCCCAGGGCACACGCAGAGCACGGGCCGTAGAAGCGGCCCGGCCTGACCTCTGGAGACCCGAGCACTCATCCTGCTTGAGCTCGGCCTCGCTGAGGGGCCTTGGCTCAGTCCCTGCCCTGTCTAGGCCTCGGGCGCCATCTGGGGACCTGGGCCAGACGGGCAGCCCCACCCCCACCCCCACCCCCACCCCGGCCCTGCACAGCTGCTCACCCGGGGCAGGGCCAGTGAGTCGCAGGCATCAAGGCTCTTCCGCCGGTGGATGCGGTGCCGGTGCGGGGGGTCCAGGATGGACGCTGGGATGCTCACCCTGGGCAGGGGTGGCAGGAGTGGCAGTGGGGGCAAAGCCACGGCCCCGGGCCCTCCCTTCCCTCCGAAAACCAGCGGACCCCAGACCGATTCCCTCCCCAGCTCCTGCTGCCCTCACAGCTGCCCCCGAGTGTCCTGCCTGCTCTGGCCACTCACCTGACCTGCGCTGGGTCCGCCAGGGTCTTGGGGCCCTGCTGGTCCCGTGGTATCCTGCACAGACGGCAGGGGGTGCCGGGATCCCAAGGCACCAGAAACAGGCGCCGGTTGACACGGTAACAGTACACACCTGTGAGGCCCACGAGAAGCAGCAGCACCCCCTCAGCCCGGGATCCTGGGTCCCGGGGCCCCTCGCCACCCCCAACCACATGGGCCCGCCAAGCCCTCCACGCTCCCCGGCCCCCACTCACAGGTGTGTACACACGTACACACACAGCATGTACACGGACTTGTGCTCACACACAAAACACAGAACATGCACTTCCATTCAAGCACGACACGTGCACACACCCACACACCAGCCAGCACCTTCATATGTGGAAATGTCACAGCTGCAGGTGTGAAACAGGTGGCTCCCGCCACATTAGTGAGCACATATGCACATGCCTATATCTGTAATCACTCACACAGGACAGACACATACGCATTCACACAACCCCTCACATGCAGGCGCACGTACATAGTACACGCTGTGTGTGCATGCCTATAGCACAGACTTGTGTGCTCACGTGACTAAGCTAGAACCCCCCCCCCCCAACCAGCCACACGTGTGCAGAGAAGAGGGTGTGGGAATGGGGGGCACATGGGAACTGAGGCGGCTGGGAAGGAAACGAAGGCTGCGGGGGCACGGGGAGGCGGGATGACCCAGGGCCGACCCTAATCCTCACCTCCTGCCCTCCCAGGGCCCGGCCCTCCCCCTGCCTCCCCAGTACCCCAGCTGCCTCCCCAGGCCCCCGCGGCCTCAGCAAGGGTCCCCGCTCACATTCGTGGTCTTCCTCGGCGACCGCGCTCTCCCACAGGCCCGGGAGCCCGACGCTGCAGAGCGAGGGCAGTGAGCTGGCTGGCGACAGCGCCCCCGAGCCGCCCGCCCGCCGCCCGCCGGCCCCTACTCACTCGGGGTCACTGTGGATGCACTCCTCCTTGTTGGCTTCTCTGAACTCCTGCAGCCTCGAGAAGAAGTCCTCGGGCTCGCCGCTCACGGGCGAGCTGTTGTCCAGAGACCCTGACGTGGGCAAAGCACAGGGGCCGAGGCCGAGGAGACACTCAGTGCCGGCACCCCGCCACCTGCTGTGCCCCCACCAGGCCTCATGAACCTGAGAGGGACCCTCCACTCACTGACAGCGCTGGTTTCGTTTCAGGGTCCATCTACCCGGACGCATGTCCCATTGTCCAGGCAAAAAATGCTTTGCAGAGCCCTCGCCATGGGCCAGACAGTGTTGGGGAAGGAGCAGTGAACTAGACGAAGCCCCTGCGCTCGTGAGGCTTACGTACTAATGCGGTGGCCACAAACCGATCACCAAGGAAACGTGTGACACAACACTGAATGACGACACCTCCCACCATGTAGGAGAGAGCAGAGCCAGGGAACCCAGCCCGGTAGCACGAGGGCGCCGGGGAGGCTTCCCTGAGGGGGCGAGCCCTGGGCAGAGGCTGCAAGGAGGGAGGGAGCCATGCAGACACCCCAGGCAGAAGGCACAGCAAGTGCAAAGGCCCTGGGGCAGAAGTGCAAAGGCCCTGAGGAACGGCCTAGAGGTGCAAGTGGCTGGAGGGGAGTGAGCGATGAGAGGGGAGGAGATGAGACTGAGAAGCCAGCAGAGGACTTGGGGACAAGGAGTGGCGCATCAGACCGGCCATGTATGTGTACAGAAGCGCCCCCTGGCTCCTGTAAGGGGAGGGGGCACCTGGGAGAGAAGCAGTCGGATGCTGGAAGTGTGTGGAAGGGCAGGGCTGGCGGGCTGTGCTAAGGGGCTGGAGGAGCAGTATGTGAAAAGGAGAAATGAAATCAAGATGGTCCTCGAGGTTATGTTTTGTCCAATTACTGGGTGCCTAGAGATGCCATTTACAAAGCAGGAGAGACCACAGATGGGGAGAAGATCACGACCTCGACTTTGGATGTGAAAGTAACCTGAGACCCCTACTGTGCCACACCGAGAAGTCGGCCAGGTATCCAAGTCTGGGGCTCAGAGGAGCGGGGTCAGCCAGAGGTAGAAACAGGGGAGTCAGGCGAGCACTCGCTGAGTGCCGACTCTGTGCCTGTCACTGTGCCGGGCGCTGACAGAGGACACAG